AAATATATATATATCTCATGATCCACTGATCGGATCTTAACCAGATTTCCCATGCAAAAAGAATTATCGAAATCGGTTGACGTGGTCCAAAGTTATGCGGTAAAAAAAAATAAAAAATATTCCGACGAACTGATCCTTTTTTGGAAGTCGTTTAAAAATTAAACAAGAGGTTACATTATGAGTGTACGATCTGTATGAATGTAATATAAAAGAATAAAGAAAATTACTCCGGGAGCGATATGGAAAAATATCGCACATAAAAACTTGGTTAAAATTCTCTTTACATTTTTTAAAATCCAATTGACCCTCATGTCATTTATAGCCAATAATAGTCCTTATAAGAAAACTCAAGAGCACAGTTGTTCGTTTTCTGTTATCGGAGAGCCAAAAATAATACGACCAAAAGATAGAGCATCCCGTCTTGGTATTCATATTCTTCCGTTTTCCAATAAATAAAATAATTTTTAAATATTATTATGTTAAGGGGTGGACGTGTGATCTGGGACACACTGTATGTGGGCGGTGGTTGTGATTATGGAGCGATTTCGGCCGATGTATATCTGTGGCATTTTATTAAAAAAACTTTTTTTTAAGCAATATCTCATTGAGTACTCAAACAAAATTTTATCGATTAGCCAATTTTAGAAGATCAATAAAAATAAAAAATTTTTCTATTATTATTTTTTTTTTGATCTTATGCTTTAAGGTCAAATCGTCTAAAATATAAAAAATCGGGAAATAAATACGACTTTTATAAATATGTAGTAGCCTATAATGAGACCTAGGAATAAGCTCCGAAAATTTTACTGAAATCCACATATCGATGACTGAGTGGAAGATCGACCTATCTCGGCAGCCAGTTCGAAAACGCCCTATCTCAGAAAATTTTTCAACATCGTTCTATCTCAGAAAACTTTTCAAAAACGCCCTACTTCAGAATTTGATTGAAAAACACCCTACCTCAGAATTTGGTTGAATAACGCCCTATCTCAGCTGCCGATTCAAAAACGCCCTATCTCAGCTTATTTTCAATGTATTTTCGTTTGAGATAGGGCGTTTTTGAACCGAATTCTGAGATAGGGCGTTCTTCAACAAAATTCTGAGATAGAGTGTTTTTCAACAAAATTCTGAAATAGGTTGTTTTTCAATAAAATTCTGAAGTAGGGCGTTCTTGAAAAGTTTTCTGAGATAGGGCGTTTTCGTACCGGCTGCCGAGATAGGTCGATCTTCCACTCAGCCATCGATATGTAGTAGTTTTTGAGCCAAGTCGGAACAATGAAAATGTATATGTATATAAATACATGCAAACATATGTATATCGATAATAAAAAGTACATATTTATCTCGTGTCTTTTCAACCGCGGCTCTTACCTATGCGCTCACTCGTTATAAGTTAATTTACCTACTGGGATTGAACGCATAAGCACACACATGGTTATGTATTTATGTACATATGTATATACATACATATGGATATGTAGATGAGAGTGATAGCGAAAGTTGTAGCTCTTATGTAGTAGTTGCGTGCGGATTTTGCCTATAAAATTATAATTACATAATTAAGATGTTGCTCGAGTACCGTTTGCATGGCTGCTTAAAAAGATTAATAAATAGTGCTAAGCTATTAAAAAATTATAATTACAAATTGCTGAGAATTTTTATCATACATACATACGCACATATGTATGTATGTATGTAATGCGGATGATCAACAATTTCATGACGAATTTATTTTTACGTTGCCATTTATGCCTCTTTCATGTGAACGGGTTCTAAATTAACTATCGCTTTATTTTAGTGATAGATTTGGTGAGAGATTTAGTAAGTAAAGAGCCCGCCTCTTTAATGGGCTATGAAAAAGATCTTCTTTAAGATTTTCGAAAATTTCTTCTTTTTTTTGCATTGCCATCTTTAATTTAATGAAAATTATCGATAAAATTAAAGTTTTTATTTTTTTTTCTTGTTATTTTATAGCCGTATATTCAACAATTTTTATTGAGCTCGAGGCCGTTTCTAAATGAAAAACTATTGTGGACAAGCAACAATAATTTTTATTTTTTGAAAAAATGGTAGAAGTGATAGCTATTTCGGAAATCACCAAATTTCCTCCCCAGACTTCTTTCAGTAGGATTGGAGTCGACGATCCCACTGACTCAGCCAGTGGCATACGCACTGTACTAAGTTCGCCTTGTGAATTATTGTTGCTTTTTCCACTTTTTCATTTTTTTTTGTTAAGCCAACACAATCAACGCAATATACATATTTATTGTGTGTGAAATATTAGAAAATATAACATTGAAATCTACATATGTATGTATATAAGACAGGAACATTTACCATGATCGTCTACCTGGTACTGTGATCAAGAAAGAATGAATAAATGAAAAATTATGCGTTATTCAGTATTACTTGAATCATGAATGAAAATTTATTCTTCATTCGAAATTACTTGAATGATGAATAAAAATTTATTCGTTATTTCAAATTACTTGAATGAAGAATAAAAATTTATTCGTCATTCTAAATTATTTGAATGATGCATAACAATTTATTCGTTATTTGAAATTACTTGAATGAAGAATAAAAATTATTCGTCATTCAAAATTAGAAAAATTATGAATAAAATTTTCTTTTTAATTTGAATAATAATTCATTCAAAAACGCCAATCCCTGGTATTTATATACTATGCGTACGTATTCAATTATAAATAACTAGCAGACCCGGCGAACATCGTCCCGCCCAAACAAATTTTTGTATTTACAGATTATGGTCCGACTCTTTAGGGCACAGTAATACTGGCAAATCACGCCTATTGATCCAATCGGAAAACACGGAAGTTCGGCATTCTCAGTGGATCTGCACGTCGATGTGATCGGGCATTCGCGGCACATTTTCTCGCTTGACGAATTTCAGTAATAAATCATAAATACGATTTTTAGTAATAACTTGACTCCCGAGCCACTTGGCGGATCAGATCATAAATGAGATTTTTAGTTATAACTCGACTCCAGTGCCACCTGGCGGGTCTGTGAATCTAAACTATCTAGAGACCCAACCAAACACACACACAAAAGTTCTTTAAAATCGGTTCCCTCATAAACACACGTACAGCTGAATTGTTTATACATACACACAAAGATAGGTAAAAGTTTCAGTACGTTTGGAAAGTGCGACACCCCTTTTAAAAGAGCCCCAATTTTCTCTATGAGTGTGCAATTGATGGCAGGCATATCGCACACCTATGTAGATCTAAAGTGAGCTAACTCAAAAATCAGAGCGGGAAACGTAACAGCTTGTGAATCGTACAGATTCAATGCAACCCTGCAGAAAAAATTATCAATTGATTAAGGGCCGGTTGTTCAATGTCTGATTAGCACAAATCGGTGGTAGAAGCTCCGGTTAAGCACAACTACTGCTTTATCGATCACATGTTACATGCATGATGTCGAAATCGTCGATAGTGTAGTGGTAGTGATAACCAGACATTGAATAACCGGGCCTAAATCGTTCAGGAGTCTTGCAGACGTTATCGGGAGTTTGTTTTCTTTACAAGTTTCTATTTAAATATCCTCATGCAATAATTACTTTCAATACACTTTTTTCTGCACTTCGGAGTAGTTCGACCACAAACACCGTGACACGAGATTTTTATATATTAGATTGGATATAATAAATTTCTATTTTTCCACAAATAATTAAGTGACAACATCACTCCGAAAATATATTGTATAAAAACCTTTTGTAAACACTTTTCATTTTATGTTCGTTATTAATTAATTTTGTCTTTGCTTTAAAAATTAGGTGGCAGCACCATCGATTGCGAATAAAACCATGCTGATTACCAGTCCGGGGAAGAACCAGTGCTAAGCAATTTTTCGTGATAAGGTTAAAAGGTTATAAGCGTGCAAACATAGTTTTTCATGCTTATACATAAGAAGATAAATTATGTTCCCTTTTTTATATCGGGGGCAACCTTATTTGGAAATATGTATTTTTAAATATCCTTGGTTTAATATGCATATTCTGATATTTAACATATATTACTTAAATCATTTTAATTTTTTTATTTAGTTTGGCAACTCTTTTATTTTGAAGTTCAAGCATAAGTTGGGATTAAAACCTTTTCGAGCACCAATGATATCATTCTTGTAACATTCGAGTTACTTATTTAACCGTTTTTTTTCTATAGATAAATATATGGCGTCGACATGATTTTTTTCCCAACACCTTCAACTATTATCGCCAAATTTCACCCAATTTATATAAAACCATAATAAATTATATACGAGAACCTTCCTCATGAATCACACCACGTACTACTGAAAACCGTAAAAAAATCCTATTGGTCAGTGGCGGATCCAGGGGGGTTTTGTGGGTTAAACTACGTGTCAGTCAGTGGCGGACCCACGGGGGGTGTTTTAATATGGCGCATATGTATGTAGAATATGGCGTCAATGTATTAAAACATCCTCCGTGGGTCCACCACTGACTGACATAAACTACGTGTCAAACCCCCCACCCACCCCTCCCGCTGTATCCGCCACTGCTATTGGAGGTTTTTGAATTTACGCGTTCAGACAGACAACAGACGCTTTGGTGCACTTAATTTTATAATATGTATAGATTCTTAATTTTTGTTTGTAAAAATTGGCACGTATGACTAAATTCACTGCTTTTGACTGCAAGTGAGTACCTTTCCGTTAGTGTATCCCGATTTACCTACTTTCAGTATTAATTTACATACATTTTAAAGAGGTGTTTATACAGTTCTTTGACATCGTTTTATTTATATGTATGTATTCCGCGTTGTGTAAGTGTTTAGTAGTTTGGTTATAATATTTATTCTAAACTTATTAAAAAAATAAAAAATATAAATATTTCACAACATTCATAAAACTCTTTAGCTAATAAAAATATTATACCAATTAGAAGGTTAAAAATCTAAAAAAAAACTTTTCGAATTCAATTAAATTTGACAGTTAACCACAAATTTACTTGCTTGGTTGAAAATTTGCAGACAGCTTTTGCGACCACGGTTAGTTCGCCCGATATAGCCAACAAAAAGTGCACTTACTTTGAAAATATATGATCAAAGGCAGTTTTTTTTTCAAAAACGCTTTTATACAAATAGATAAATTTTGTAGCTCCGTTTCAGTTTTCGGTGTTTTCTTCTTGTCTTCTTTCTGCCAAATTTCACTTTTCGATTTTCGTTTCCGACATAACAAGCACACTGTACACGCCGCTTTTGAACGCCGAACGCAACTAAATCTAAAATATAAAATCGAACTGTGTTATTGGCAAAGGCAAAGCGTGTTGGCCAAACTCAGATGAACGCAGCTCAGTAAGCCAACTTTTACAGCTCCACGATCGCTCAGCACTCGCACAACTCTATGTATGTATATTATGTAGTGGTCGAAAGTGCATAAATAATGCGCGCTGCAAGAATTTCTTTCAAGCTTCAAACCACACTTATTAAAAAAGACGTGAGAGAAATAGATGAGATATAGAGAGGGAACTCGAAAGAGAGAAGATACATACATACATGCGTTGTAAGCTCGCAATATGGCATCAAGCTGGCGGCACCTGCTTTTCTGTGACTTCATCGCTCCAAGTGTCACCGCCTCGACGGGCAAGTATGTAAGTGGCACACTGGTCAGCGCATGCGCCCGCTTTCTTCGCTTCTTCCTATTCTTCATTCTCTGCCATTTCACTACAACGGCAATGGCGATTGTTTTTCTTTGGACTGTTGAGGTGCATGCCCGTTTCTGAGCGCTAATTCATTGATTTTATTAGCAGCTCAATCGGCATGAACAAAATGCTTCATTGATAACGGTCAATTTATACACACGTATCAAACATAAATCTAATTCAACGCGTATTCTTTGCATTCATCCTTCTCTTAATCTGCTAGTCCAAGCCACATTCGACATTCTATTCTTCATATTTAACGTTTTTCAATCGAGTTCTATTCCAAGTCGATCTAGAGTTACTTTTCTGGTCGAATTTCGCGGTAATTAGTAAGTTGACCACGTATCTGATCCGTATATG